TTGTACTAATTTTTTAACGAGCAGTTTCTTCACAGCTTCGCCTTCCATTTTACATTTTGTAATTAAAGATAAGCTTTATGTTTTTAATAATCTTTAACTTACCTATACTGGATTTCCGTGGACACAAATTGACCTTTCTTGTAATCGTGAGTAGCACCATCATCAAGGTAAGTGCTACCGTTTGCGCTGCCGTCGCGATCCAGAGCAACAAATAGCGTTAGCGGATCCTACAAAGATTTTAGTAGAAAGATGGTTGCATATTTTTCGCTATAACTTCCAGCGGCAACTCCTCTTACTTGGATCATTAAGCTAGCTGCACGTCTGATTCGTTGCCATGTTGGAATAATCGTTCCACCACGTTGAAATACAGCAATATGAGTGATGGGAACGTCAACATATGAAGAGCCGGCATTTCTTTCAACTCCGCTTTCCCATTCAAACCAACGAGTGTCCTAAAGGTAAAATTAAGACGAATAAGAAACGAAGAGGTATAGAAGAGAGATTCGCTCTATTCCAATGTTCAGAGCCAATACCCTCAAAAGTGAAAAAATGGAGTATTATGCGGAGAAGATGAGATAGTTTAGAAAACCGACCGAAGCTTTGCCAGCGGGGAGATCAACATTCACGCTGTATGTATCCTTCTCAACAACAGGGTGAACTAACAAAGCATTTCCAACCATCCATGCCTGAACTGAGCCAGTAGAAAACTCAAAACAGGTGGTACATGATACTGAAAAACCTTTTCCTGTTCGAAGTACTTCGGTTCATTCGGGAACTCAAACCATATCGGTCGCATCGGCGGTGCTCCAGTCAGTGCATGTTCTCGGAAGAGAACATACCTAGATTACGGATTATACAATGGGGGATGTGTTGGTGATTTTGCTGATATAGGTGGTTTGATAGGTTTAAAAAAACACACAAAATTCTACGTACCAGTAAGGGAGTAGTGCATAACGCCTTCTGATAGCTTGCCGAATCGCTTCTAAGGTGGGCTTTGAAAACAACCAAGGCTCACGCCTCTTCGTATCAATATGAGCGTGGGCTCTGACAATAAAAGTAGACTGGGGAGAGATCTTATCTTGATAGAAGCGAGATTACCTGAAAAATGGCTGGAAAGCAGCAGCTTCGTACCACCGAGTCAATAATTGCTCATCAGGATTTCCAAAAAATCCACCTACATCAGCTCCTGCAAGAGATCACTACAAACAGCGTCTCAAAATACAAATAAATAAACAAACTTGCTTT